TTCAATAAATCTTGAAAAGAAAACTGCTCAGATCTCTTAGAACCAAAGGGCAAAGTGAAACAAGAAAGGATCAACCAGTCACTTCCTGAAACCCCAAAATGACAGCTCACAGGAAAATCACAGCCAAAATCCAGAGCTTCCAGGTCAATGAAAAAATATTGCAAGTAGCCAGAAAGAAAAAAATCAAGTACTGAGGAGCCACAGTCAGGATCACATGACTCAGTGGATGGTGGTGGTTGTCCTTTGTGCTTGAAGAAGACCAAAATGACATCATTATGTTGGAGTCAGGGTACAGTGTGTTCAACTGTGGCTGATTAAACCAATATGGACTAGGAATGCTCTATCACAGGTTAGGCACAAACAGTCCACATGAATATTTGAAGTGGAGATATCTCTAAATTTATGCATTTCACGTTTCTCTTGAGCTACTTAATTTCTACTCTGTTCAGAAGCACAGTGCCTTCTTTGATGCAGGCATGGCATGCTGGGCAGTCCTGTGCCAGTGTCTCCCATGTCTCACAATTGATTCCAAAGTTCTTCAGAGAGGTCTTGAGAGAGTCCTTGTATTGCTTCTTCTGACCTCCATGTGAGTGTTTGCTTTGTGTGAGTTCCCTATAAAATAGTCTTTTAGGCAAGCCTATGTTTGACATTTGAACAACGTGGCCAGCCCATAAAAGTTGTGCTTTCTTGCAGCTGAGTTTAAATATTTGGCAGTTCAGCTTGAGAAACAACCTCAGTGTCCAGTACCTTATCTTGCCGGGTGATCTTCAGAATCTTCCTAAGACAATCCAAAGGGAAGCGATTCAATTTCCTGGCATGTCACTGGAATTTTGTCCAGGTTTCACAGGAATACAAATGAGGTCAGCACAATGGTTCTGTAGACCTTAGTTTGGCAGGCAGCCTAATACCTCTTCTCTCCCAAACTTCCCTTGGGAGCCTCTCAAACCTGAGCTAGCTCTGGCAATGCATGCATCAACCTCATTATCTATGTGTACATCCTTGGAAAGTATTCTATTAAGGTAAGTGACCTTATCCCCAGCATTCAAAATTTCTCCATTTGCTGTAATCGAGATGGTTCCATGTATGGAAGGTGCAGTGCAGGTTGGTAGAGAACCTCTGTTTTCTTGGTGTTAACTGCCAGGCCAAAATTAGCACAAGCAGCAGAGAATCAATTCATGCTCTGCTGCATCTCAGCCTAAGAGGCAAACAAAAAGTTACATACTAACCCTCCCTCCACTTTAATCTTGGTTTGCATCCTTTTCAAATTAAATAATTAGTCACTACAGTAGCTGACCTTGAGTCCATATCCCTCCTCCTTGACGGTGTATGATCCATCATGCTTTCAGTAAAAAATGAAACATGAATGAACGATAAAGGACTAAACAAGGATAAACTGCTTACATTCAAATATGGGGAGATGATACATGTGTTTGCTCTGGGCCCTATCATCAGGATCATAGAGGGAGTCCTATTAGATAAGGCCTGGGAGAGGTTCTGTTATGTCTTGATGATCTTGTGAAAAGAACTGGGAAAAGAATGGAAAGAGCTGGGAAAAGGAATACACCGAAGGGAGTAGAGAGAGGGAAAGGAAAGGAAGGTAGGGTGTGCAAGTAGACATCTATAACAACAGGGAAGAGGATGAAGGAGAGTGGCTGACACATGAACCTCATTCTCAACTGGTCAAAAAAAGGAATAACATATACAAACACATAGTTGGGTATAGAAATACATTTCACTCAACAAAGAATAGGAGAGAGGAGAGAAGGGAGTAGGAGAAATTAGAGGGAGGGTAGATTAAAAGAAGGATTAGTATTCAGCAAATAGTCTTAATGATTAAGGAAATTAGTATTCAGCAAAACAAATTTCAAGAATATACAAAAATATTCATGGCTCTTTTTGATGTGGAAAAGAATGAGAATCTGAAGGTGTGCCCATAAATTGGGGAATGGATACAAGTTATAGTACATAAATGTGATGGAATACTATTGTGCTGAACTCTTATCAGTATAATGACCAGGATATATGCTACTTACCTCCTGATAAAGAAGTGAAGGAGTCAATGCAGAATTAGATAAACACTTCTTTGGACATGGTCAATGTGAAAATTTGTTTTGATTGACTAAATGACTATGCATGTTTATAATGGATTTTCTTTTTACTGGGTCTCATTTGGCAAAGAGGAAAGCGGGAGATTTTAGCTCATTAAAACAAATAGAAAACAATAAATACAGGCAGACATAAATAGAAAATAGATAAATAGATAGCTGGATAGATGGACAGATGGATGGATGGATGTTGTTGTTGCTAGATAGACAGGTGAACAAAAGAGATCATTAGTAACTTTGCAAAGCTAGGTTTCACTTGCATGATAAGACGACAAGCCAGATTTCAGAGGGTTTAGAAAAGAGTGAGAGGAGAGGAATTGGAGGCATTGATTGTAGTATATAGCTTTCTCAAGGAACTTACAGAATGAGATGCCTGGCAAGGATAGTAGGATGATGTGACAGGTTTTTTTAAGGAGGGTGAAGACACATTTCTAAGATATATAGGGAACAGATTCAAACTTGTAAGAGCCATTCCCCAATGGATATATGGTCAAAGGAAAGTAAAGATTTTTTAGAGGAAGAAATTCAAACTATCAATAGCCATGTGAAAAAAAATGCTCTAAATTACTAACAGAGAAATGCAAGTTAAAACAACTCTGAGGCTCCAACACACACCCATCAGAAAAGCTAACAAGGCAAGAAAATGGCAAATGTTAGAGGAATTGTGGGGAAACAGGTACATTAATGTGTTGTTGGTGGAAGTGTGAATTGGTCCGGCCATTCTGAAAAGCAATTTGGAAAAATTCCCCATAAGTTAATCAACTGTGTATATTCTCCAACCCACTGAAACCAATATTAATTATACCCCAAATACATCAGAGAGAAAAAAGGGTCCATATGTACAAAATGACACCTCTTATTAGGTACAATTGGAATTGGAAACTGAAAGGGTGTCCATCAATTGGAGAATGGCTGAACAAGTTATGGTATATGAATGTGAGAGCATACTATTGTAGCATAAACGATAAAGGGAATGGTTTCAAAGAAACCTGGGGAGACTTGTATGAACTCTGCAGTATGCCAGAAGCACAATTTATAAAATACCATTATTGTTGTTTTCTGATTCTGATAATAATTCAGATAATTTTGAAATACTTTAGAGCTCTAATTGATGTAATGACCAACCATGATTCCAGAGGATTCATGATGAAGTATGCCATCCACCTCCTGACAGAGAGGGAGAAGGAGACTTTTTATTTTTTGACATGGCCAATGGGGGAACTTGTTTTGCTTGACCATGTTTGTAATGGGTTTTGTTTTTCTTTCTTTCTTAATAAGTGGAGGAGGGAGAAGGTGGGAGACAGAGAACACAGATTTTCACTGGTTAAAATTAGAAATCGAATTAAACTTCCAAAAAGGATAGGGAGACATGGACACATTTGTAGGCAGCACCAATAGATAGGAAAAGACTGAAGGTAAGAGGGTGGGATTGATTGGAGAAAAAGGGAGGATTTGCTAGAGACAACAGAAATGAAAAATCCTATGCCTCAAGAATAGTAACAACAATAATACCTCTTTTTAATAATGTTTTACAGTTTGGAAAGCATTTTCCTAAAGAGGGGAAAAAAATCTGTGAAAGAGCTCATGCAAATATTATTATCCCCACTGTACAAATGAGGAAACTGAGGCTCAAGAAGATTAAGCGACTTATCCGTGATCATAAAGATAGTGAATGGCAGAGTATGTAAAGATTATGCTATTAACTACCTCTTCAGCATCAGCTTTTTAAATCTATTCTTCCAAGGGTTGTAAAGTGTTTGTACTAATTCACCTATTCTTCACTTTACTCCCAGTTCACTCTTCTGTCTTTTCAACCTTCTCAACAGCTATCTTGCCTCCCCTAAGGATGAGTCAACCCTGAGGCCTGTTCAATGACTGGTAAGTCCCTACCTGAAAATGCCATATCTGAGGAGTGAACCAACTATCTACTAGTACCCTAAATAATAACATCAATACAATAATGTGGTACTTTAAGATTTGTGAAGCACTTTATATACATCATGTGTTCAATTTTGGACATTTCAAGTGTAAGATGTCTACCCGACATCCAGTCTGAGATGGGGCTTCCTGACTTAAGGCCCTGCACTCTATCCACAGTGACACCTGGCTGCCTCAAACATCAGCATTTTGTTGCTGGATTGAATTTATTGGAGCTGATAAGATCATCATGTTAAACAGTATAGAGAAAGAAGAGCTGAGGGCCCAGGACTGAACCCAGTTGGATACCCACAGTTAACAGGTCTAACCTGGATAAAGAGCTACTAAAGCAGACTAAGGAGCGGTCAGATAGGTAGGACAATAGGAAAAGTGGTGTCCCAAAAACCTAGCGGTAAGAAATTATCAAGGAGAGAAGGATGATCAGCACTGTCAAAGGCCGCTGCAAAGTCAAGAAGGACAAGGACTGAGAAAATGCTATTCGATTTGGCAATTAGTAACTTGGAGAGCTTTAAGGGAGCAAGTATTGGTATCTCATCAAGGAAAAGAGAAATGAGGATTAAGAAAAAGGCAAGAAGAACAAAGAAAGGCAGAGTGCCTAAAATATGGCAAAGTGAGTCAAAAAGCAACAGTTGGGCACAAGTACTATCGGCAGGTCAGGAAATCAAAATTCAGGACTGCTGCCTAATGTAGGAAATTTGGTCATCGTGTTTAAGACACATTGCATATTGCATTAAGGCAAAAGTTTTATTATTTTACTTTGCAATGATCTCATCTGCATTCTCTATGCCTTGTAGAACAGACAAGAGGGCAGTGCATGCACGGACGAGGTTTGGTCCCTGCAGGTATTCTTGTTAACTCAAAAGGCAGAGCACGTGCGCTCTGGGAGGGTAGGGGCGGTGTCACTCTGGGCCGAGAGGCGTGCTGCGGCCCCGCGGGGAGCCCTCCTCCGGCTCTTACCTGACGCCCCGTCCTTCTGCAAGGGCACCTGGTAGGAGCCGGGCCCCACGAGAACGTCGGTGCTGGTGGCGTTGGCCAGGGTTATCTCCCGAGGGGCTCGGTCGTACATACCGGCCCCCGGCGGCCCCTCCCCTGGGGAGGGCGGGGGCGGGGGAGGAGGGGAGAGGGCGGCGAACGCGGGCCTGAACCCGGGAGGAGGGTGGCCCTTGTCCCAGACCCCGGCCCGCCCCGCTCAGCCGGATGTGCACATTCCGCCCGAAGGCTTCCGCTTTCCACGGGGCGCACCAAAAGCCACCACCTCCCAATCCCAACAGCCCCGCGGGGGGCGAGCAGGGGAATCCCCGAAATCTCGTTTCCGGCCTCCCTCCCGACTTCCGGCCTTCGACGCTCCTCCCTACCCTCCTTCGGGCGGGAAGCGCGTGCCAGGAGATACCCGGAGGTTGAGGGGGAACGGAAAACGGGCGGGGTCAGGACCGGGCTCTTCCCCGCCAGCCCGCGCCCCCGGAAAGTGCGCATGCGTGCGAGCGCTCCCTCTGGCTCCCAGGAGGGTGCGCGCGTGCGCCAAGGCAGACGGTGCGCGCGCTGAGCTTCCCCGCGAGCACGCCCAACCGCCCTGCGCCAACAGGCGGCCGCCGCTCCCGCAGCTAGGCCAGGGCGTGCGGGGACATGAGAACCGCGACGGATCCCGCACCCTGAGCCTCCACCCAAAGGGGCGGGCTGGAGCAGCGACCAGGGGGCGGAAGGGCGGCCCCGAAGAGAGGGTCTCCCCAAGGGCACAGGAAGGGCCCAAGCCGAGGCCTCTTTCCTTTCCCTTCCCCCCCCCCACGTCGCCGCCACGAACGCGCTTGTGGCCCCTAAGGCCCTCGGATCACTCTCTCATGCCCTATCACCTCTGGCCCGAAGCGCCCCAGCGCCGGGAATGCCCACCTCCTCCTCTTACAATACCCCTATTATTTAAGGCCTCCCCCCACTTCCTGATCCTCTCAGCTGCTAAAAAGAATGCAAGCTTCCTGAGGGCAGGGACAGCCTCACTTTTGCATTTGCACGCCAGGTACATGGGGCGTAACTGGCAGTGTTTGCTGGTTGATCACCTCGTCAGAAGGGATCTGTTTGATGTGCCCTACGGTTTGTATCAGAACCCTGTCTTGCTGGGGATGCTGGTACTGCTGCGGCCTGGAGCATCAGGCCAGTTAGTAAAGACTCCCAGTGAAGGAGAAGCCACTGGCTTCCCCAGAAGCCCTTCTAATTTGGTTCTGTCACACCTAAATTTGCCACCGTACCTTCTACCCCTTTACTCCAAGTTTCTTCCCTTTCAGACTAGACTTGGTAAGTCATGCCTGATATAAATAAATGTAGAATATTTATTCTCCATCATCTCCCCAGCTGCCTTGCCAGAATAGTAATATACCAACTGCACCGATTCTCACTAGTGATTTCATATTAATATTGGACAATATCTAGCATATACACTGCACTTTAAAGTTTGGGAAACTCTTCGCATGTATTATCTCAGCTAATCCTTACAACTCTATGAAGAAATATTCTTATCCCCACTTTACAAATGAGGAAATTGAGGCGGAGAGAGATTATGTGATTTTCACATCACACCTAATGTCTGAGACAGATTTGGTCGCTGCTCTTCCCAACTCCAAGTTCCATTTTTCAGCCTTCATGTCACCTAGCTACCTCTGGTTAGACTTGAGTAGCTAGAATATTAGAAACCCAGTTTTATTGCTAAGATAGCTAACTAGCGGTCACATAGGTAACGTAGAAAAAATGTTGAGTAAAAGAACTACTGTCCAACTCACGTAGTTTTGTATTGCTCTCAAATTGTTGGGTAGATCTATTCCAGGTCAATGGAGTAATGATTTGGACTTGGAACCAAGATGTGGGAGTAGACAGTTATAAAATGACATTGCAAGAAGTTCCATGTATTCTTATTGAAGTCCGATTGAGACAAATAAGCAGAATACCAGATACTCTTCAAGAGAAGTCCTACAATATTATTCTCAAGAAGCTAAACAGCAAACTAGAAATTGCACATATAACTTGGGTAAGCACACATCCTCAAAAGATGAATGTCATTGTTCAAGTTTCTTCCTAATTTCAAGGCCACCCCTAAGTTATAAAAGAATGTTGCATCACATCCCATTCCAGGGTCCTGACTGATGTTGTGTTGATGCAGATAGTTAGAATGTGAAATCTGAAGAAACTCAATATTCTTTACCTGAAAAGCTAGCTAGCTAGCATGTAAATATTATGAATATAATAATCAGAATCCCCACAAGTTAACTCACATGGGTTTGTTTTGCTCTAAAACAATTTCTAAGCAATTCAGTGAAATGTTCATATCCAGAACCAAGATTCACATGTAGAACAGACAAGCGCTAGTGAGTCATTACTGGTGTTGAATGGATTCTAGTAGCTAGGAAATCTATCTGGATGGATATTAACTGAAAGAATATTTTGTCAAAGGAAATAATCTACCTCCAATTTGTTTTCTTTAGATGTAAATATCTAAATGCTCAAGGAAATTATGATCATAAAATAATATTACATTGAAAAGAAATAACTAGACTACTAGAAAAATACCTGGAGAAGCTCATTAATATTAGGAACCTAAGAGATTCCTGATCCAGTGGTTCTCTGGATGGAGGCAAATTGCCCAGATCTCTCCTATCAAAAACCTGAAATTTGCACCAGAAAGAATAATGATGAAGAAATCCAAGGAGAAACTACAGTAAGTGATTTCTTCCACCCTGGATAGCACAAAAAGTCAGCCAAAAGTTCACGGACAATAAAAGAGGGGAGTTCAAATAAAGCCAGTGCCAGCATAGGCAAACTAGCTAGTACCTTCCCAGCCTGATAAGAAATGAGCCAGAGACACAGGCAAATTGCAAGGCTTTGTGTTGTGGAAGGCAACAAGAGCAGAAGGTTCCTCTGAGAAAGCCCCAAGGTGGGCAGAATCCCCAAGGTGGTTGGAAACTCATAGCAGGAAAGCCACCAGGAGTGAGGGTGACCAACAAACACCTGGAAATACAGACTGGGAGAGTTGAGGAGCCCAGGGAGTCTTGAGAACCCTTGCAGTCATGACATAGGGCTCTGAAGATAGATGCTCTGAAAGTCAGCCAGACCACAGGAGGTGGAAATCAGCCTAAGAATCCAGTGACCTAGGGCTAAACCAATCCAGGCCAACTATACCACCCACAAGCACATCTGGGGATGGAACCTGGCCCCAGCAAAAGTCCCAATTGAAGTACTAAAGCTGGAGAAATAATAAACCAAAGAAGATACTGACCAGAATAAAAAATTACTGTAGATCTAGAGATGCCCAAAAATCTAGCCTAGAAGTCAGTAAACATTAATCATCTACTATCTGCTAAGCACTATTCTAAGTGCTAGAAATTTAAAAAAAATAGTGAGCTTACACTCTAATGGGGAAGACAAAAGGAAGGAGAAAGTAACTACATAACTGCATGCATGAGACTCAAAGAAAAAAAATGGAGTTTCCACAGACTACATAAGTATCTAGACAAAATGAAGCAGGAAATAAAAAGTAAAATCTCTGAAGGAAAGAATTGGAAGGAGAATAAATATCTTAGGGGAAAAAAATTGGCAAATCTTACACATGTAACAGACTCATTATAACCTACAATAGACCAAATAGAAATCCCTGAGATAGCAAGAAATATTAGAACCCAATCAAAATTTTTTTAAATGGGAGAACATAAGATATAATATCAAAAACAACCTAGAAAACAAGTCAAAACTCCATGAAAACCATAATTTTTTTGAAAAAGCCTGGATTCTATAGTTTAAGAAATTATCAATGAAAACTGACTAGATCTTTTAAAACCAGTGGGCAAAATACTTATAGAAAGATCCATAAATCATATCCTGAAAGAAACTCAAAAAAGAAAAAGTCCAAGAATATCATAGCCAGGGGGCAGCTAGGTGGTGCAGTAGACAGAGGTCCAGCCTTGGAGTCAGGAGGACCTGAGTGCAAATATAGCCTCTGACACTTGACACTTACTAGCTGTGTGACCCCGGCCAAGTTACTTAATCTTGACTGCCTCAACAAAAAGAAAAAACAAAATATCATAGCTAAAATCCAAAGCTTCCATATCAAAGGAAAATATTGCAAGCATCCAAAAACAAAGAATTTAAGCACTGAGTGCTTAAGACCTACAGCTTCTACTATGAATGAGAGGAAATCTTGGAATACAGTATTCCAAAAGATAAAAAGGCTTACAATCAAGAAAAACTTGTCTGCAAAGCTGAGTAATTATAATCCCACAGATGGGTACCATTGGTGGAATAGAGGACTTTAAAGCATTTCTGATTAAAAAATCAGAACAGTATGGATTTTGAAATACAGCATGTCAAAAAAAAGCCTTCATCAGTCTCCTAACTTTATTATTTAAATATTATTTAATAAATTTTATTATATTATTAAAACCTAACTCTCCCAACATAGTCTTTACCCTGATACCACCACCAATTTGTCTTTCAATTTTATAGCACTTCAAGTTTATTCTTTGTTTTCTTGACCTAGTTGTAAAAGTATAAATTGGTCACTTATACTTCAAAAACAAGGCTCTAAGATTTGCTTGAGTGTCCATGATTTCCCCCCTTTTCCAAAGTAATAAAAATGTCTTGACTAATCCAGGAAAACTGGGAGTATCAAATTAATTCTTAGAAACACAGACTTCACACTTGTCTCTTATTTGGTCTCTTTGCCTCTAGTCTCTTCCCTTTCTAATCTGTCATCTGCATGTGTGCCGAATTGGTACGTTGGTATTCCTAAAACAGAACTGTTCATGGCTCCACTTGTGTGTGTGTGTGTGTATTTATGTCTCCACTCAAATCTCTCTAAATATAGATAGAGATATATATGTGTATGTACATACATATATATGTATGTGTGTGTATATATACATATGCATATATATGTGTATGTATATGTATATATATATCCCTCTTGTCTAAAATGCAAACTGTCTTGCATGGAATTTAAAGCCTTCCACAATCTGGCTCCCATCTGCCTGTCCAGATTTGTTTCACATTATTCCTCTTTGTGTACCATCATATCCAATCAAATTGCCCTGCTGTATATGGTTACTGTTGCTTTACACAAATAGTTCTCTGTATTTGTAATACTTTTTCTCTTCACCTCCACCTTATGTAATCTCTGGCTTCTTTCAAAGAACAGCTCTAATATCAACTCTTAAACAAAACTTTTCCTGATCTTTTCAATTATTAGCATTTTTTGCCTGCCCAAAATTATTTTGTATTGCTTTCTATGTAATAAGCACTGGACTTGGAGTCAGTCAGAAAGACCAGAATTCTGAGCCTGCCTCAGACAGTTACTAGCTGTGTGAACCTTAGCAAGTAATTTAACCTCTCTGGCCTCAGTTTCCTCATCTGTAAAACTGGAATAGAAGAGCCTACCTCAC